CGATATTATATACTATTATAATACGCTTACTCTAGGTTCCTACTATAGCGATCCTAGATAATATTATAGAGAGCTTTCTTTAGGTTATTAAGAACGTAGTATATAGTAATATACTTAGAGTAAGACTATCTCTATACGTAAAGAGATAGTAGTCGTCTAACCTCTCGCTACTATAGATATCTCTCTCTATATCTAGAAACTATATTACTACTCTATAGTATAGAGAAGAAAATACTATAGGAGCGAGGTAAGCTCTCTAGAAGATCTATAGAAAGTACTTCTACTAGATAGAGAAGTAGAAGAAAGAGTATTAGAAAGAGTTTCTAGTAGACCTAAATAATATCTAGAAAGCTAATAGCTACGCCTATACTACGAACTAAATTAGCGCTATCCCGATACTAGTAAAGAGTACGACTATAGCGGAGACTAATAAAACGAAAGCAAATATACTTATAACGACCTTCTTCTCTATTCTACTAGAACTAAAGATAGATAGATATACTAATTAACTATAAGTATCTATACGAAAACATAGCGTACTTCGAGAGCTTCTACCTATTATAATAGAAGAGATCTATTAGGCTATCTTCTAGTAGAATCCGAAAAAGGTACCTAGTTCGAATAAGATTATATTCGATATCTAGAGGTACCTTCTATAGTATATTAGCTCGTAGCTCTAATAGATATACTAGGCGTCGCTAGATCTAGAATACGTACCTAGATCGTAGCGGACTACTAAGATCGTAGTACTAAAAAAGCCTAGTAAGTCGGACTATATAGTACTAAAAGTATACTAGCCTATCTCCTTACTACTAACGATTAGTAAAAGTCTTAAAGCTATCGTCGCTACGAGACTATTATATCTAGTAGAAAGGTTTTCTCTACTACCTACTAATTATTTTAGTATAAGAAAGCAGCGGTCGTATAAGTAGGCTCTAGACGTCTTAATAGAAAAGATTTATAAGATATAGAAGAGTAAGTATATACTTTTACTTATAACGTTCGATATATAAGATACCTTTAATAGAGTTTATCTAGTTATACTCGGATAGCGTTTATATAAGCGAAGTATCTCCGATAAGATAGTTAGATAGATTCGTAGTTTCTATAAAGATCGAATAGGAAGTATTATAATCGGTAACTTTATATTAGAGTATATACCTATTAGTTATACTAGTATCCTATAGAGATCTCTACTCTCTTCTATTCTATATATTTTCTATAATATAAATCTAGTAGAAAGTAAGATTAGTAGAGTAAGTAGATTGCTCGGATTTATCGACAATTTTATAGTATAGCGTATAGGCGCTAACTATATAGAGATAATAGAAAGATTATAGGCAGAAGTACTATAGCTAGTAGCTTAGTAGTTAGAGAAGAGCAGAGCTACGTTCGAAGTAAACAAAACCGGATTCGTCTATTTCGAATAAAAAGTAGTAAAAGAAGAAGGCTCGAAGCTAGCCTTATATTTCTTCGGCTTAGAGATTAGGCTCTAGGATATAATTAAGATCCTCGGCGTTATACTAGATACTAGACTAACTATAATAGCCTACTTCGATAGGATTATTACTATAGTAACTAAGAAGTATCTAGTAATAGGATAGCTTCGAGGTATCTAACTAAAATAGATATACTAGCTATATTATATAGTAATTAATACTACTATAGACTATATAGTATTAACTTAGTATATAAAAGGAAGACTTAGAGTATAATAGTATACTACTCGGCTAGAACGTATTTAATAGATAGGTACGTAAGCTATTATTAGAGCCTTCTAGATAGTCTCTTTAAGTATTCTCTAGGATAAGGCTAGACTAGAGCCGATCGAAATATAACTAGTAAGAAAGACTACTAAGTATATACTAGGTATTAGAGCGTTACTATAGTAGTACTCTCTATAGTCTATTATAAACGATATAGAACGGAGGAATAAGTAGTATAGAAGCCTTTTATTCGAGATCTAGTCTAGTTACTATAAGACTATCTAAAGTAAAAAGAGGTTAGGTATTACTCTAAAGCTACTATATACCTTACTTCTATAGTATAACCTTAAAGATATAGTACTAGTATATAATAAAGCGGAGATACGCTATATCTACTAGCGCCTACTAGGCGCTCTAACGTAATAGTAGCTATACTATACTAACGCGTTAGTAAGGAATAGATAGATAGATATTATAGTAGTAAGATACTTTCGCTTATTAGGCAAACTAGCGTATAAGGTAGTATAGTAAGAAACTATAGAGCAGGAAATAATATATACTATAGCTAGTACCGAGATTTATACTATTAAGATAGTACTCGAATATATTTAGAAGGTTAATAGTCCTATATAGATCGTATCTAATAGTTAGGAAGCCCTTTAGCAAATTAGTAGTAGTAGCTACTCTAAGAAGTTAAGAGAGGTCGTCGTAGTAATACTCTAAGAGCTATAGCTCGCTAATAAGAAGAGCGTCTAAGTTAAGCTACTTTAGATATCTAGATATAAAGAAATCGCTAGTAATAAGTAAGTATATTATACTATCTAAGAGACTATATCGATATATTATATACTACGTATAGAACCTAAACGCTAGGTTAGAGAATATATAGAAGTCTCTAAACTACTATAAGTAGTAGTCGAGGTAGACGTACCGAAAGCTATATCTATATAGAGTAGATTTATCTACTTAATCGATAGTACTCTTTCTAGAAGATATAGACTACTATTATATAGCGCGCTAATACGTAAGGATATAGGAATTCTAGTATAAGCGCGAATAGGCTATTCTTATTTATATAAATACTTAGTATATATACGATAAGTAGAGAGCGTAATATACGAGTATAAGAGCGAGTTAGAGTCTATTAAGTATATACTATTATACTATTCTAAGTAGGTATCTTAGTAATAATAATTAAAGAAAGCTACTAGTAATAGATAGGATAATATATCTTTTCTACTCGAAAAGAAGAGCTAAAAGAAGGACTCGAGATTAGGATAAGTAGTTAATAGAGATAAATAGCGGCCGGATATAGACGTTATATAGGCTATAATTACGTTTCTAAAAAGCACTAGTAGATTTGCTACCTAGGCCTAGGTTTTACTTAATTAATAGTACTCTTATAGAGTAACTATCTCGATTATACTCGTATAAAAAACAGATCTAGAGAATATCTTAAGTTAAGGTAGTAAACGAGAGTATAAATATAAGGTTAACGCTTAGAGATAGCTTATACGGACATTAGATCTATATATAGCTAGATTAAATAATATAATATAAT